ACTGCGGTGCGGTGGCGTGCCCCTGGGAGACTGCGCGGTTGAGCCCGCTCGAGGTGCGTGTGGTCGAGTGCAGCGTGGGCCTGGTGTGGAGAGTCCGTATGACGGAGGGCGTATTGCGCAGGATGTGTATTGACCGCATTTTGCTGCGATTATTGGGATTTATTGACAATGAATTCGGGAGATCTCGCGAGTTGAAAAGTGAGTCGATATGGTGGTACTCAAATGGGGGACCTGGATGGGCCAGGGATGCTTATGACAGTACCGTCTATGCATCGGCTGACCCGGGATGGCGTTCCGAGAGCGCGTGTCACGTCATGCTCCTCTTCTTCGAAGAAAAGCGTTGACTTCCCAGTTTTGGACGGCCAACGCTTCTGGGCCTCGGACATCGGGACATGACATTCATTTCATTGTTCATATCGAGTTAACACGGCGTTATCCCCGAGGTTGATATCTCTCAATTTATACAGGCATTCGAGCATACAAAATGTTTACAACCAATGATATCACCTCTCTGCTCGAGATCGTAATTGCTATCTAATTATCGACGTTCTCGTCATATTCCTCCTCTGCCTCGTTCTCTTCATCATCATCGGATTCCCAGGAGTCCAGTATGGCCAGTGGCGTCGGCAGAGGAACATTCTTCTCGATCTCCTTGGCGTCCTCAAATGTTGCCCTGTTACGCTCCATGACAAACGTCCACATCTCGTCAAACGATGTATCGTTGGGTTCTCCGTTCCCATCGAGCAGGGAAAAGTATTGCGGAACCATAGCCGGCCTTTCGACATCGTCAACGTGCATATCGCTGCTCATCTCCTCATTTCCGGTATTCGGCCCATTGTCGCTTGAAGCATATTCCTCGTCTTCAATGCTTCCCCCACTGACGTCCATGCTGCTTCTTCCGTCACTAGAGGACATGCTCATGGAACTTCCGTGACCTTCCTGATCACTGATGTCCATCTCGCTATGAACCTCGCTCCTGTGCCCCTCGCTCCCACGCTCGCCTCTGATCATAAAGGCATCATCCGAACTTGGATCTGCCGCGATGCTATCAGTGTCGGAAGAAATGGGAGTATTGGGTTCACGCCACATTGGATCTTCGTTTTGGGTATGCCCCGACACCTGATCGACGTGATACGGAACCCAGGTTCCCCATTCGCCAACACAGGATACCGCGATAATGGTCGTGATCTTGCTATTGCTGGCGCAAGCAGACTTGACATACGACTTGACTTGATCTTGCATTGCAAACACCCTTTTCACAACGAATTCGAGGCCTTCTTTCTCCCGAGACTCAGGAGGAAATGCTTTGATTTCAAGCACGAAAATGACGTCTCTCCATATGACGTGTAGGAAAGAAGAGCCTATATGCAAGGCCACTCCAGAGAGCTGCAAGACATTGTCGGGATATTGCCTGCGTGTCTTCACCTCCCCGTCATTTGATGTTATTATCCTTGTGAACTCCTTCTGAGGGTTAGTATTAACCCTGTGCTTATGATTTGCAGCGACAATCATCCGCCGCATTGCCCTGTCCCATGGACCATACCAAGGAGCCTCCAATCGCTCTTTCATTGTATCTTGTACGAGCCGAGGGAAAATCATGCGGTATTCCCGCAAAGATTTCTCTGCCAGGTTCGCAGTTGGCACAGTGTGTGGTGCAGCCATATTCCGTCTGATCTGATCTTTCCATTTCAGCAAGATGAATATTATTCCTAGACATTGGACAGGTAGGTACTCGCCTCCAGACGCAAGTCTTTGACTTCTTTAGATGCGGGTTTGTGCCAGAGACGCAGGAAGTCGAGGGCCTTTTATACACCGCATAGTATTACCATGATTCCTACATATCTTCTGAAACTCATTATGGATGAAGGAGCCGATACACAAGCACCAGCGGGCAGCTCGGGTTCCATTGCGAAGGTTTCATTAGCAGTCTCGCATCATTCAGTGTAACGTGTGGAATACAAATGAATGATGTGTTACTGAGTACCGCAACAAGGCATGACAAGCACATCGAGTATGTGCCACGACGCTATCAAAGACGGTTCTTGAACCGTGATAGACCTGAAACATGGAGAGGCGTAGCGGATGGCCTTCTCGCACATAGGACTGCTATATATACTGGAGTTTGGCCGTATCTTGGGCAACGTAACGCATTCAACTTCACCACCGACATACCAGCCCTGCCATCGGTAAGGCTTTCCGAGAAGCCATTGGTTCGATGACGTAATGATTGATGTCTTCAACGCGCGTCAGATATTTATCGAGAACCGAGTCTGAAATTTGATCACCCAGTGTTCGTGCAATACTACGAGTACGATACCGATGCCCAAAGTGAGTCAATCGAAAGCAGGCCTCAGGTGGCACTGATGGGACCACCTTAATGACAGGAGCCTGAGCGAACACTAGAAGAGGTGCAAGCGGACGTGAAGAAGTCCGTTGATGAGGCTCATGCAAGTCTCAAGGCATCGTTTCCGAGGTTGCCAAAGCGTCGGACATTCACTCTGGTGTACGGATATCCAGTAACTGCAAGCTGGATTGTCGAAACAGCGAAAAATACTGGTGAAACGTCCGATAACTTCCACGTCGCTGCAACGCATGTCTTGACCAGACTTCGGCGAAAGTCGGGTATCAAGTTCTTGGCTTTGTGCATGCCATACGTAGACGCGGACCCGCCCGACACAGAGCAATGGTTCCTGACAATAGGAACCGACGAACACATTGATATCAAGAACCGCTGGCCACCGTGTTTTGCGATAGAACGGGTGCGGAGATTGTTGAAGGCTGATGGACCCCCGGTTTGGGTCTGCCATGCTGGGGATTGGACCTGTCCGTGATCTCCATAACTCGTAATATGATAGAAGTGTGTCTCAAATCGTATTCTGGAGAGTGTCGTGTGGTCAATGGTCATCTGTGTCGCACTTGAAAACCTGAATGATCGCAAGCCGTGTAACACACCAATAGTCACTACTGGATAGCTCTCGAAGCAATCTTAGTAATTTCTTTTGCACGCTGTGACAGCTGCGCTGTCCTATTTGGAAGAGCTTCGAGTCACTCTCGACTCGGAGTCAGTGAACTTGAGAACAGCTGCTATTGTTATTACTATTGACCCGGCGACTTCAGGCTGGTCTCTCCAAAACAGCTTTCAACGCAGCATCGGCTTGAACAACCACTGCTGTTTTCTTGTATAGCTCTGTATCGCGTCCCATTGACTTGGATAGCATGACTTTGCTGGCACAG